TATAAATTTTTTTATTAAGATCTAATACATTATGTCATTGTATTTTCCCAACATTTGATAGATGTATCCAGTATAGTTTTCAAAAAATAATTTTCCATTGTTTTTCAGACTATCCACCACATTTTTCTACAAATAAAATACTAATGCATCCACAAAAGATACTTTCAATTGCATTTACAAACTTATATGAGTACGATGTTGATCTATTCATAAATAAAAACATTCTGTGATGTTTTAAATTTATGCATTACTCTTGATTTTGAACCAAGTGGTTCGATTTTTAAAATTTTTTTGTTGTGTGTTTGCTTATGTACATACATCAATATAAGAAAGTACTTGGTGAACTGTTTACTCTTTTCTTTTACTACATGATAAAATTAAAATTTGAATATTTAAGAAACTACAATTTTTTTAAAAGATTGAACGTGAACTTTTTCTCATTTGGTTTAGTTTGTATGTCTGGATAACAATATATATACGTGAAAATGAAAATTTTGATGGAAGAATAGAGTAATTTCAGTTATTTTATTGATCCATTTTTTCTATGCTTTTAGGAATTAGTTTTTCTGATTCGGTTAGTTCTCTGAACTTTTTGCAAATGAAGTTTTTACTAAATGGTATAATAGGGAACTCTTTATCTTCTTTTAGAACTTCAATCTTATAATATCCTAAATAAGAAGGCTATTATATATATTTTTCCTGAGCCTTGTCTTCGTTGGTAGAAAAGTACCTTGTCTCCAAGCTTTTCTCTGTTTCCCAAAAGCGAGTTTTTAATTTTGGTTGATGAATAGTTTATTAGGTGATGAATCTAAGACCATTGCCTCTTTACTATTTGATACATAATTCTCTTCGCAAAAGTTTGAAAATTGTAATCCATTTTTGGTGTCCTGGAATCTCCTTTTTGGAGCCGTGACTAACCTCATATTTCTGTTTGCAAGGCAAGACATACAGTGTTTAGGAGTTACAAAATATGTTTTGAGAGATGGCTCGAAGATTTGAGATTACTCAATGCAAGTTGTCCTCAACAATCCATGTATGGGTGACATTCATTTTTTGCACACGTCTTTGTAGTTCTAGGACTGCACTGGGAAGTTCATAAAAAATATGTCAATTTGCCTTTGAAATGTATGCAGCAAATAGGTTTTACCAGTGAGAAATAAGTGTAAAGTTTTCAAATAATTATTTGAAACAAAGTATGGTTTATTTGACGACCTGACTTAATATGCAATTTTCTTGACAATCTCTCTTGAATTTTTTATGTGATTTATTAGGTTTCTCACTTGCCTTTAGAACCAGTTACCCCGAAAGTGTAATCAGTGAAATACAAAGGACCAAAATTCAATGGGGGCAACTGCCTCTACTTGTTCTGACTCAAGATCGTTGAGACAAGTTGTTTCAAGACGCTGGATAGATAAGCTAGAGTTTTTAAGTTGATAGATTGGAATCTTAGTCTACAAACGTGTCATCGCACTTCAAAGTTCACCATGTTTTGGCATATGGCTGACCTCTCCACTGCATCTCCAGTACATGCTCTTAATTTAGTTTTGCAGAATATGTTATGCTTTTGTTTTTACGTGCTAATTTGGATTCAAGTAATGGATGTTGGTATTGGTCAGTAATTATACACCAGCTTCAGTATGTCATCTTCGGTGACGCTCTATGCTTGTTGCTTCAAACATTAAATTGTTGACAACAATCAATCATTAAATTGTTGACAACATTGTAATTTTATGTCAATAATTGGTGAGAACATTTTCTTAAATTCCAATTTACATGCAAGTTAACCAACCCTAAACTTTTTCCATTTGATATCATCATAACTTCTGTTAGGTAAAGTGTATTTACTATACAATTTTACTGATGTCACAAGTTATGTTATGAAATATTGTATAGAAAAAATATAATTGAATGAAAGAGAATCCAACACATTTAACGTGCTAACATTGTCTACAAAATAACCAATCTCATGCAATATACGAGCAAAAACTAGTAATAATAAAAGAGGCAAGAAGAGATGCCAACAATTAACAGATACCATGAGTTCATGTATTCCTTCTCTTTATCAAATAATTCTTCTATATGCATCAAATTATAAATTATAGTTTACCATATTAACTAATTTATTTAAATTCTTCATTACAGGCAAAGAGAGAGCTCCTTCAACAAAAGAAAAATGAAATTATGAAAAGGCTCAACAAAATACATGTGCAACACTTGAACACATTGATATTCTTCAATTAAAATCGATTAACCAAAAAAAATGATTTCATATTCACCCATGGAATTACATTTAAAACACAATTGTTGTGCATAATATACAACATAGAGACAACTATAACATGGAATTCTGGTGAAAATCTTCCAAAATTCACCCATCTGGAAAAAATCTCTTTTCACATATTTGATGGCAAAAAATTAAAATTCATCAATAAAATCATAATTTTTGGACTTACATCTTCTTCTTCCATCTAATATAACTTGAAATTGAAAGTTTGGATTCTTGGGAGTGGAATTGCAAGAGAATGCTAAAGCCACGTTTCTGATTTGTGGCTAGGGTATTGTGAGTGAGAAAATGAGAGAGAGTGAGTTTTTAACTTGTGATATAACGTATATGGCTTGGGCGACTGGTTTGAATTTGGGCCAACGGTTTATTGGAGAAAATGTATTCTCTTTTGGTTTTTTCCAGGTTTCCTGCACAGTCCAAAAATGAAGAGACTCGGACTGGACCATGGTCCGATTTGACGATTTTCTGACCGAACCGGTCGGTTCTATCCGGGCCGGATTTAATAACACTAGCTTGATGTGGCACAATATAATAGATGGTGTAGTGTGTCATGTCACCCGAATGTTTAGCACATAGCAAAGAAAACCACCACATGAGACCACTCCAAGGATTGCCTCCCTTGGATGGGATTGCCATCAACCTCCCAGAAACTGACAGCGCCAAAACTCACCCACCAACAATCATGAAAAGGGATGTTGACTCCAATAATGTGATCATCAAAATCAAGATTATAGGTGGTTCCTATTACTACACAAGAATTTCGAGTTCATAACTATGGCATTACAAATGAGGATTGCTTTGCACATCTTGAATTGGGATTCAAATTCCATTCCCTCAGTGGTAACGTAAATGATGCTTTGGGACAAACTTACAGAATTGATTACGTGAGTAGAGTGAAAATAAAAGGATTTAAGAGAATTTAATGAAAATAAAAATTAATGGATGAATTCAGAGTTATATGTTTTTATTTAATTTTATATATATCTATTTAAGTAAATTTACGTAAAATTAAATATAACATTATTATATTTTTAAAAGTGAATATATATATATATATATATNTTAATTATTAAACAAAACTATTAAATATAAATTAGGCAAACGTGCATTGCACGTTGCTTGCACTTAGTATATATATATATATATTAAAACGACGGTTTTAAATAACGGCTCCCAAAAATTATTGACATGTGCTCATTTAGCTATAAGTGAAGATGTATAGAAATGCAAAAAAATATGGGTTTATCCGGATGTACCGAAGGAGGGGTGACCGAATGGTGTCCCCCTTCTCACAAATGCGGCGGGCCCCATGTTTTTAAAAAAATGCAGCTCGTGGTCCCTACTTCCAAATGTGAGTGGAGTGTAAAAGATTAGGTAAAAAATTATATACATGTAGCATAACCCAAAAAATATATCTTGAAGTAGATCTTAGGGCCTGTTTGATAGGCCATTATTTTTCATGAAAAAAGGAAAATAAATTCCAACTTTCACTTTTGCCTTGTTTCATACACTTTTTTTCCATGGAAAAAACTTTCTTGGTTTGGCTTACTGCTCACATTTTCCTTAGTTTTGTGGAAAATCAATTTCCACCAATCCATTTTTTTTTAGGCAATGAGAAAAAATTCTAAACACAATGGTAAAAAAAATTATCACTTTTATTGACAATTTCTATGCAAAATAAAGCCAAACGAATGATATTCAGTATGATAATTTTTTTTGACAATTGGAACAAATTCTAGACCCAATGGTAGAAACAATTATTACTTTAATGGACAATTTTCATAAAAAAACGAAGTCAAACGGATACCAAACTTTCAACATTTTCCAAGGTGAAAAATTATACCAATCAAACACAATTAATTATAATTCTCAGTAAGACAATTTTTAGGCAATTCAATTCCCCGTAAAATATTTTCTTTCTACCAATTTTTCACATTTCCAATCAAACGGACACTAAATTCTATGCATGTATATTTCAATGTTTTACAATTTAGAGACGCATGTTAATGTATAGACATGCCATTTAGTATACTAATATAATAATGATAAAAGATGGGTGAATCCAATTTGACAAAGAAAAGCACAACTTTTCCAGACTATGGAAGCACAACCCAAACGAACACTAAACTTTGATAAAAAATAGTTTTCAAGCATTTTTTTTAAAAAAAACTTTTTGGCAATGTTAACAAATTTCATAACCAATATGAAATAAATAATTTCATTTTAATGGATAATTTTCATGTAAAATAAAGCCAAACATGAATTAAAAAAAAATCCAAAATTTCATAAATTTTCCGGATGGAAAATTATACCAATCAAACATACTTAATTAACAATTACTTTCCCTGAAAATCATTTTCTTTCCACCCATTTTTCACCCTTACAATCAAACTCACCCTAATTGCCATTTTCACTTTACTACAGTCTACAATTCTCAATATTGACTACCTAAGTTTTGAACATCATAAATTTTTGCTCTAAAGTCCGGGGTATAAAAATGATTGGGAGCTCCGCTGGAGAGTAGCGGCCGAGGGTTGGTCCAAAAAAAAAAAAATAAAAATCAATCAATCAATAACAATAATTTCTTATTTTCCTAATTTAACTTATTTGGTTTGTGCCATCGTCACCAGTCATCAGTCAGTCAGTCTTAGAGCAGCCACCAAATTCAAGACCCACAACAACAGTGATTTTTCTCAGAGAGACTGTGGCTGCTGCAATGGCATTCGCCTCTCCCATATCTCCATCTTTACACAGTCTTTCTTCTAATCCATTTTCAAAGCATAACAAGATTTTAACACTCAACAAGATCCAACCCTTTTCACTCTCTCACAGCCATCCCCTTTTTAGGTAACCATTTTTCTACTTTTATTTCTGAATAGCTAATTTATCTGCAAAATGGCTTTTTTTTTTCCCTTTTAATTGTCCGACTCTGTTTCAGTTTCTTGGTTTACCTGCTAAGCGAATTTTCTCAATTTAATGCTTAAAGATTACTTTTTTATTTTTAATCTGGCCATGAAAATAATTAGGTGTATGAAAGATATGAAATTTACTTGGGCATGCAAATACTGAAAATCATGTTATTTTCGTTTATGAAATGTTCTCTTAGTATTCAAAGAACTAATTTTGATTAGTATCTTTTGGTTCCTTGCCCTATATATACACACACACACATATATATATACGTATGTTATTATGCTGACATGTATGTGGTCATATAGTTTCAAGAATAAGTTGCCGTAAGCATTTTTTGGCATTAACTTTGCATTGATGCACCGTGCACTGAGTAAGTCGAAGCAAGACATAATACGAGGAATTCTCAAAAATACTTCTCCTCATGAAAGATGATAAAGTAGATTAAAATCTAGTTATTAGTAGTCTTCTAAATGATATCCCCTGATCTTATTGGTCTTATTGCAGAGAGCCTGGAAAGTCAAATTTCCTTCAATTGTAGTGTAATTGCAACTTAATACCTTCATTGCTCTCTATTTTGTTCAGTTTTGAGGCTAGAGAAAATAACCATGTTACATCATGACTGGGAAAATGTTTTTAACAAGTACAGCATTGTGGAGCAATTTGTCAATTCCCAAGATATGAAAATACACAGAACAACATGACAATATTACTTATTGACATGAAATGACTGGCTTGTATTTAGGCTGGTTGTGTTTGTGCTTTGATTGAGTTGGCACAATTGTCATATTTTGGCTCATCAAAAACAAATATGAACATTATGTATATGCTTATTAATGGATTTCATCTTCCAGTTTTGTCTATAACAATTTCTCTTTATACCCTGCTGTTTGTGGATGCTTAATGTATAGCTTTCTTTCTTTCTTTCTTTTCTTTTGTTTTTTATATCACAGAATAGATTGTGGGTTACTGTGGCAAGGACAGGCTTCATTAAACTATAGCCTATATTCTTCCAGTACAAGTGCAGGTTTAGTTACCATTCCTTCTAATATGCTTTTGAATATTGAACTCATGAGAGTGTGTTGTTACTAATATGATATATCTTCCATAACTGTTAACAAAATTTGTAGATTATTTGTTGGATGAAGCTCTAGAAAAAATACAACTTCCAAAGGGTGACACCTGGTCTATTCATAAATTCGGGGGTACCTGTGTGGGAACTTCTGAAAGAATACGAAATGTTACAGACATTATTGTCAAGGATGAGTCAGAGAGAAAGTTAGTTGTTGTGTCTGCCATGTCGAAGGTGACAGACATGATGTATGATCTCATAGAGAGGGCACAGTCACGAGACAACTCTTATGTAACTGCACTGGATGCTGTTCTGGAAAAGCACAAGTTGACAGCACTTGATTTACTTGAGGGGGATGATCTTGCTAATTTCTTATCTCTGTTGCATCAGGACATTAGCAACCTTAAAGCAATGCTTAGTGCAATCTATATCGGTATGTCTAATGCAAAGGAAAATTTGGCAAAAACTATAATGCCAATTGCAATAGTTTTGACTTATTTATATGCTCGTATTGAACCACTTAATCTAAAAGATTGAATTGTTAGAGAGGGTTACATTATATCATTTAAATATTATCTCCAACATGACCCCTCACGTGTAGATGATATTTAATTTTCTAATTGCACAATTTCATTTAAATGATTGGAAACAAGGCTTGAACCCAAGAAATTTGCGTGATTGATACCACATTGAAGCACTTCATCTACAAGATTAATCTGTTAGAGAATGCCACTTTATATAATTCGAATATTGTTTTCAATTGCTCGAATATTTATATTCATGGCGTGACTTCTTCTTTTCTAGGTGTGGTTTCCATTCCTACTAATATAATCTTATTTCAAAGTTATCTAGGTTAAGTTTATGCTGAATACAACTATGCATACTTATTTATCTACAAGCATATCTACCGAATACTCATTAAACCTTGTGCACATGTACCTATATAGATACGTTTATCTAATCTTTTCTTGTATGAATACTGTTGTAATTCACGGATTTATTATAGGATATTTTAATTAGTTTCCTTAATTTAAAGATTCAGGCAGCATATTACCCTGTCAAGATTTGCTGTTATTTATTCTTTGATTTTGTGAGATATTATCTCCCATAATCATGGGATTTTATTGTGTTTTATTATAGCAAATTTGTCTCTGCTTTTAGTATATCGCTGTGTATTTTTGTCCAATTGGAAAATAAGAGAATAAGAAAACTTTCTCTCAAAAAGTTTCAAATAAAATTAGGCCTATTTGATAGCCTAGAAAATGGGTGAAAAAAGAAAATGTTTTCCAACTTTAGTCAATTAAGGGTGTTTGATAGCACAAATTTGTCTGGCTTTTGCTTTTCCCACCTTTTTCTAGGTACAACCATTTGATGCACATTTGCTTGATTTTGTTTTCCCACCTATTAGGTGGGAAAACAATTTCCACATTTTGTTTTTTAGCAATGACAAATTCTATCATATATTGTAAAAAGAATTTTCACTTTTGTTGACAAATTCTATGCAAAACAAAGTCAAACGAATGTTATTCGGTATTGTAATTTTTTCTAATTTAATTTTTTAATTTTTTACTTTTTGGTAATTGGAACAAATTTTAGACGCAATGGTTGAAAAAATTATAACTTTAATGGACAATTTTCATAAAAAACGAAGCCAAACAAATACCAAACTTTCAACATTTTCCAGGTGAAAAATTATACCAATCAAATACAATTAATTACAATTCCCAGTGAAACAAATTCTAGGCAATTCAATTCTCAGTAAAACATTTTCTTTCCACCCATTTTCCACCTTTGCAATCAAATGGACCCTTATTTGTCTTTTTTTCTTTCATAGTTATTATTATTATTATTATTATTTTGTAGCAACGAAAATATTCATCCTCAACTTCATGACTTTTAATACTTAAAACATATTGTAGCTGGTCATGCTACAGAATCGTTTTCAGATTTTGTTGTGGGACATGGCGAGTTATGGTCTGCTCAACTGTTGTCTGCTGTTGTCAGAAAGGTGACCCTGATATGCTTTCCTTTTACGGAATTCACAATTTTCCCAGATTGTTTGAATCAATGTTTTCGTATCTTTGCCAATAAGTTTCCCCTCATGTTATAGAATGGATTGGACTGCACTTGTATGGACACCAGAGAGGTCCTTGTTGTAAATCCGACAAGCTCTAATCAAGTGGATCCAGATTATTTGGAGTCTGGCAGAAGGCTTGAGAAATGGTATTCTCACAATCCATCTAACACTATCGTTGCGACTGGGTTTATTGCCAGCACTCTTCAGAATATACCTACAACCTTAAAGAGAGATGGTAGTGACTTCTCAGCTGCAATTATGGGTGCTTTATTCAGAGCACGTCAAGTCACTATTTGGACTGATGTCGATGGTATATATAGTGCTGACCCTAGAAAAGGTTTGTTTGACTTGTTCACATGCTGTCTCACTTGTACTACACTAAAATCACTTCATTTGAATAGTAGACTTCTGGTCCCTTTCAAACCTGGCAAGGAGATACTGCATCTCTGTTGCTCTAGACCTCTTTCTTAGCAATTTTACATTAGCATGCGTGTTAGAATTGAGATTTCATGTAAGTTTTTAACATTTTTTTATATCATCTTTGGCAGTTAGTGAAGCTGTGATACTGAAGAAATTGTCTTATCAAGAGGCATGGGAAATGGTATAGTCAATTCTTTTTTGTTACCATCCAAAGTTAATGAACCTCATATTTAAATGTTGCAATCATCAAATTGTTTGTGTATGCAGTCATACTTCGGGGCAAATGTTTTGCATCCTCGAACTATAATTCCCGTTATGGTATATGATATACCAATTGTCATAAGAAATATTTTCAACCTCTCAGCATGTGGAACAATGATCTGCGGTCGTGCTGGCTGTGAAAATGAAAATGGTCAAAGAATGGAATCTCCAGTTAAAGGATTTGCAACAATTGACAATTTGGCCCTTGTAAATGTTGAAGGGTGTGCTTTTAATTCATCTCATGCTGCTATCTGCCAGGGTGCTGTTACACGTTTTTATTTTTTTTTCTGTCATGGTTGGGCAATTACTTGCAAATTTTTTTTGCAGAACTGGAATGGCAGGGGTTCCTGGAACTGCCAGTGACATTTTTGGTGCTGTGAGAGATGCTGGAGCTAATGTAATCATGATATCCCAGGTAATTTTTTTAATAATATCAGTTCGACGCAGAATGTCATATTTTTTATCAGTGAATCTCATTGAGAACTTAAATGCAGGCTAGTAGTGAGCATTCTGTGTGTTTTGCTGTGCCTGAAAAGGAAGTAAATGCCGTTGCTGCGGCATTAGAGTCTAGATTTCGTCAAGCCTTGGATGCTGGACGTCTTTCCCAGGTCTTACCTTTTTAATTCCAGATACTAACAGGTGTTAGGGGCTGTCATGTGAGTTCATCTTGAAGTGTTCCACTTAACTGTTACATGTACTAGAGGAGTGTTTAATAATGCAAGCTGCATGTTTTGTTTTCTCCTTGAAGTTTGTACTCACAGATATTAATTGCTAAATTGTTATGTAATTTTCTATATTGTACAGACATAATGAAAGCAGAATTTAATATGTTCCTCTGTAAATGTTGAATTTTAAAACCCGCTGTTTTTTCCATATCAACAAGGATCATTAATGTACATCTATATTCTCTTTCAAGTTTAGTATTTGACAATGAAAAATTTATATTTGGTGCTGGAGGAGATAAAGTTGATGATCATATCATATGAACTAGATTTTATTAGTGTGCAAGTTATAGAAGTGAAACAAGTGACACCTTGTCTATTTGTGGCTTTTATTTACCCAACCCTGTGGGACAGGAATATGCTGTACCACTTATTTCAAGGCAATGGCTACTGAATCATACTACCCATGACACAGTCAATTGCAAATTGGGGTTCAGACATTATTAATCCACACTACCTGTGTGGACAATAGGCTGTGGTTAATTATCCACTTCATAAACGTTGCTTAATGGCATGAATGGCTTAGCTTCTCTTGATATCTGATAATATCATGTTTTTTCTTCATGACTACATTAATGTTCAGCAAAATATTCTGTTTCGTTCATACTTCCTAGTTTGTAGAGAGATTCTATTCTGTCTATTTTTCTTGATATTCAAAGAATCTTTGCAGATTGCAGTAATTCCAAACTGTAGTATTTTGGCAGCAGTTGGCCAGAAAATGGCAAGTACACCTGGAGTCAGTGCTACACTTTTTAATGCACTTGCTAAGGTTGGGAAACTTATTGATCTTCGCAAATTTGTTTCTCTTCACTTGTTATCATGTACAAAGTGCAATTTTATTATTACTCTGGCTAAGTCATTTGCTCTTAAATGTCTGAAGAAGTGTCAACATATCTCCTCTTTTGCCTAATTCAAAGTTTTATATATGATTTCATTGTCGGTTTTCATGCTTGGGAGGGATCAACATCCAAATAAACCCTGTGCTAACTTGGAGCAACTACCAGTTTAAAAGTTTCTCAATGTGGACTAAAGCCCCGTATATTGAATTACACTTCCTTAATCATATAGATGCTCTCTTGACCACTCTGGCCATTAATTTTTGCAGGCTAATATCAATGTACGGGCTATAGCTCAAGGCTGCTCTGAGTATAATATTACTGTAGTTATCAAGCGAGAAGATTGTATAAGGGCTTTGCAGGCTGTCCACTCAAGATTTTATCTATCTAGAACGACAATTGCAATGGGTGTTATTGGACCTGGGTTGATTGGTGGCACATTGCTCGATCAGCTTAGAGACCAGGTTATCATCAGAATCTTAATTCTTTTTTTTTTTTTTTTTGCATTAGCATCTGTAGTTGTTGGACTGTGTATCTGTGTACTATGTTCTCTATACCTGAATGAGTTTGAGAAAGTGAAATTGTTGACCGCATGATAATGTTGGTATGGCCATTTATAAAGAAAATGTTTTAACTCGATCAAATATTCACTTGGGGTTTTGAAATCTGAGTGTCTTCTAAATTTTATCATTATATGTATCCACCTCTTCAGTCTTCACGGCGTTCCACTTTTCTGATAACAAGCTTATTATCCATCAAAGTAGTTGATCATCAACATTATTGCCCTTCAACTCAAAATGGTATCCTACACTCTAAGGGTGATTTGCAAATGCTCGGTGTAAACTAGGAAAACATTTTTTTTCCCTTCGCATTTTATTTAGATGAAAGGATTGAACTTGGTGAACCAAGCGAGGACTGGGCCTATATAAATTATTTAATAGATCCTTAAACTTTGTCATAGTTTTTCAACTGAAGAAGCATGGACATAAACGGGGGCGGAGCCAGAGAATTTGTCCAGTGCGGGCACAATTTTAGGTATCAGTTGCGGAGATTTTTTTGGTCAAAATTAGTCTATGAACGAAAAGAACTTCACTTATTCA